ACTCCAAAGAATTGGGGCTTACGTGTGAATACCGGCCAAGATAAAAATGACAGTTCTCCAAATTCCTTCCCAAATGTTATTTAGAATATTTTTCACCTTATAAGAGATACGGATATAAGTCCGTGCATGCTACGTACGTACGAAACACAGACAAATACATTAGAATATACAGAATACCCCCCCAATTCGATGGAAAAGAAAGAACATCAAGAGATTCACCAAAAAAATAAAATAAAATAAAGAAAGAACACGGGGAGACTTCATCTATAAGCTAACATTTCCGCATGTATACTTTTTCTATTCCTGCATAATCTTTTAACAGTTATATTTCAACCCCACGCGCGAAATTCACAAAGAGACAAGACGCTCTTACTATTCATGTTTTGGAAACAATGCGGCTTGCTATAATTTAGACATACATGTTGATAATGATGGTATATAGGTATATGACATGACTAATTATCTGTGTTTGGAATAAATCAGGTATCAAACTGGTTTATAAATGCTCGAGTTCGGCTCTGGAAGCCAATGGTAGAAGAAATGTACTTGGAAGAAACCAAGGATCAGAACAATGAGTCCAACCCGAGGGACAACACGAATAGATCACCAAAAGAATCAAGCAAGGACGCAAATAATAATGATGCAGCAGCGCACGAAGAATCAGGTTCCATTAATATCAGATCATCCTTTGATCAGATTAAAGCTCTCCAATCGAAAACAGATCATCAAACATTTAACAGCCAAACCCCCACTTCCCTACACGACATCTCAAATCCTCCAATGGGAGTTCCAAACATTTCAATGGACGTGGAAATGAAACCCCGGTTCGTTAAAGACGGGTATAACCCGTTATTAAGTGGAGAGGGTTATGGAGGATTCTCAGTGCAAGACATTGGAAGGTTTAACGTTAGTAATGTTTCTGAACAGCATTTAGCTCCGAGGTTTCATGGGAACGGTGTTTCCCTCACTTTGGGACTCCCTCACAGTGACAACCTTCCTCTCACTGCCACTCAACACGGGTTTCTCTCTCACAATATGCATTTGGGAACCAATAATGCCACTGAGCTTTGTGCCATCAACGCTGCTCCTCCGCCGTCTTCTCATGCCGGCGCCACCAGTTATGAGAATATTGAAATTCAGAACAGAAAGAGCTTTGCTGCTCAGTTGTTGCCGGATTTCGTCACCTGAGAACTTCTATACTTGGCCTGATACAATATTAGCAGTCTTATTCAGTTAGGCGACAGAGACTGAGGAAGGAAGACCAGTCCCATTTCGGGTCTCATTTTTCTGTCTTTTCTTTATAACTGATGGATTTTTAAGTAGTACTGTACGGGGGCTATTTTCACATTGTGAGCATTAACTTAGTAGAAGATTTAGCTAGCAACCCAACCAAAAATACAAAAAAAAAAAAAAAGCATTTCTTATGTATTATATATCGTCTTTTGGGTATACTCATCATATTCCTGGCTTGTAGGAGGCGAAGCTTGATAGTTCAGTTTCATCGTTAGCTTAGGATTCTATAATTTTGGGAAGGATATATGTATGTGTTATATTGAATATATATGCTGCTCGCATGTTGTTAAGCTTACTGAAATATAATGGTTTAAAATTGGATAAGGAATAGTAAATAATTAGTTTGCAGAAAAAGGGTTGCTTTTTGCATCGGTAAAAGAACGGATTTTTATTGTTTTAGAACATTCCTTTCTTTTTTTGGGGATTTCGATGGCGGTAAAGTTGGGGACGATATGAAAGGTAAGTACAATTAATACTAATGCACGTAACTTTCGAAAGTATTTTTGTACTGAGGTTTGATACTCCTATTATTGCATGCATGCAAAAGTAATATTTGTGTGTATCTAGGTTATGTTGATAAGGCATCACATGTAGGTTAATATATATATATATATATGTATGTATGTATATATCAGAACCAGTGAAAATAGGCATCGGATGAAGTGACATGTGAGATATTTTATGAACAAAAAACTCTAATTTGAACCAACAAGCTAATGGTTGAAATGATAAACAGTCTTATCCTGTAAGAAAGAGACTACAAGTTTAAATATCAGAAAGTTTACTTGTTAAAAAAACTTTAACCTTAACCTTTTTAGCTCGTCAGAAATTAACCAAAAAGAACGACACATCGTGGTTATGGAATACAAAAGATAAATTATATATATTAATAAAGGCTGAAATATATTTGATCTATAAGTTGAATTATATGGAATACATGAGTTTAAGTAGATTTACAAACAAGTCTTGTTTGAGGGTATCATTAAACATAGAAATGAAGTTCATGCGGACGTGTGTCAACTGTATATTGTATCGTATGATATCGATGATTCGCGGACTGCAGATATATTTAATCTCAATATTTGCTTTGGTTCAGTTATTAATTAATATTTCAGGCGTTGAGATGATTGGTGCATGGCTTTGTTTTGGTCAATGTGGTAATGATGTTTTAACATTATTGGTTGAGTTTATGACATTTTCGTTCAAGCAATGAAGAGAAGTTGAAAAAAAAGGAAAGATGGTGGCAATTATGAAGATAATTACAGAAAAATTGGCAAGCAGCAATCAGAATCCAATTATGAAGAAAAGATCAAAACAGATCAGTAGAAGAACGCAAACTGTTTGTGGGAAGTTATTACCACTGCGTTGTGAGAGTAGTGAACGAAACAGGTCGTGATGTGAGGCGAAGAAAATGATTTTACGTACAATAGAAAACAACAATAATTATAGCGACCAATGCGGGACTCTGGCCTTGGGCAAAATGATGAAGCATCTGATATTATTTGGCCAGGACGAAGCATCTAATGTAGCTGTCATATGTAATACTTCCTCCGTTCTTTATTATAAGAGACAAATAACTGAAGTACGTTGATAAAAAAAACAGTTAAAATTAGTTGAGAACAATTAATGTGTAAAAAGTATAATTTTTTTTCCAAAAATACCCTCATTAATAAGGAGAAAGCATGAGAGATAACAATTAATTTATTAAAAGAAAGAGAAGTGGGAGGGAGAGAGAGTGTGAGTTGAAGATAATAAATATGGGTAAAATAGTAAATCAACGCAAAAAAGTAGAGACAACTTGTAAGTGTCTCTTATATATAGGAACATGCCATAAGCATTAAATGTCTCTTATAATAAGGAACGGAGGGAGTATTATTTTTTAAAATAATTTTTAAAAGCTGCGTCTCCTTATATTTTAATTATACCCTTAAAAAACTAATTGAACGTTAATATAATAACATTAACAATTAAGATTTTTAACTAAAGGGGTAAACTTATTACGATTTAAAGTTTCATTTAAAAAATTTTTTCAAGTGCCTGACATGCCGAAGTAAAAGCTTTTGGAATAAATTTGTATCCTAGCCCTTGTTCTTTTTATCGAACACATATGTATAGACATAATTTCTTCTTGCAGCAATAATTAATTAACATGGATGTTATAAAATGTATAAATTTTATTAAAATCTTTTATATCTTCATACTCAGAATAATTAATAATTCATTCTCACCATTCTAATTCTCAAATTTTCGCTCTCACTAATTTGATTATAGAAACCAATATACATTATGTCGCTGCTAAATATTTTTGTGTATTAAATCAAGTTATATTCATTTTGATGCTGATACAATTTTCAAGAAAGTATTTAAATTATAATTATAAATTTCAATAAATCTTATGATTTTATTAAATTAATAGCACTTTATTGAGAGCTGATTCATAACAATTACTAATATTATTTTGAAAATATATTCTGTCTGTTTTTGTTCCGACCAAAATATTTCTTTTGTTTGAATCTGCCCTACATAGTTTATATGGGTGTGCATCATCGATTAAATGGAGGATGCGTAATGTTTCATGATTTGGGAGAGCTTTATGTGCTAAAAAAATTGGTAGATTTTGTTATTGGGCTTGAAAAGGCAATAAAGAGCCTGCCATAATGGATCACGGTGTTTTGTGTGGCCCAAGGTTAGGCCCATTGGGCCTTTCATGAAGAGACCAGCGCTGACCATTAAAGTGTTTACAAACTTTACATGCGGGAGAATCACCCCTCGCGTCTAATTTAAAATGTTAGTCAAATTGGAATAAGATCATTTTGTTTTTGAATTATCACTCAATTTACAATGAAAGGAGGACCTTTTTACCTCCTCATTGTTTACTTTCTTTTTCTTTTTCCATCTTTATATAAAGTATATGTATCCACTTTTTACTTATTTACCAGCATTTAATGCTATTCTGATATTTAATATAGGACCCAATTGTTAAGTTAATTTTAGTCATAAATATAAGACATATTTCTTATATTTATCAATTTTTTTAAATTATTCTTATGGATACTTCTCAACCATAATCAAATAGAAAAAAGAGAGAGGATATTGAATCAGATGATTATGGTGTTTAAAGAAAAATATGTCATAGTTCTTATAATTAACTAACTTACCTAACTTCTTTAATCCAATCAAATTAGTTAAATAGATCTTATATTAATAATCAATTGAGTAATATTTAGGAGGATTGTATGCCACACGATCTCTCTCGCAAATTGCAATTCTTTTTTCTTTAGATATATATATATATATATATATATATAGAAACAAATTGCCATTCTAATTAAATATAAAAAAATAAAATAACTTCTTACAACAATTCCAAATTTATTTTTTTATAAAAAATTTATCTTAAAATAAATTAATTAAAAATAAAAATAATTCATAAGTTATACGTAAAAAAATTAAATATGGAAAAGTTTTATAAATTTATTTTTTTACAAATAATAAAAATTTGACTTCTAAACCAGGTAAGTTGATTTTTAAATATGAAAATTTGGTTTGCAAATATAAATAACTAAATTTAATAATAAATATAGAGATTTGAATTATAATTATAAATATGATTTTTTTTCTTTCAAATTTTTTAAATTTAATTTTTTACGGGGAGTTTGGGTAAATTTCCTTTAAAAAAGTTGGTGGATCCTGAAATTCTAAAGAACGAAAAGGAAAATTGCATTTGCGATGGAAGCAAGAACAGCAAAAGTGGAAAGCGCAGCTTCTTCAATGGAAAAAGAGCGATTACCGGAGAATTGGAGCGAGGCTGTGGAAGACCTTGTGGCTAAAGGAGACAGCGAAAGCGCCATCTTTTTCCTCGAATCTCTGCTCCCCAATCTGGAAACCCTAAGCTCTTCCCAACAATCTTCACAGCTTCAATTGGCATCTCTTCTCACCGAGTTAGCCAAACTTTACTCCTCTAAAGGCTTATCTCTCAAAGCTGATGAGCTTGAGTCTCGGGCTTCCCTCCTCAAGCATAGAGCTAGCCGGTGTTACATTTCTGCGTATGCGTCTCATTTTCTTGCCCCCTTCTTTCCTGGTTTGATTTTCGAGCATTTAAATTGAACTGTGAAAAAAAAGGAGAGGGAGATTACATTATATAGGTATTTTTTGTTTGGTAGAACTGAACCGGATAATTAAAATATTTGTCTTATGTTAAAGACTGGAAATTTTATGGTATTGTTTTACTTCCCCCTTTGGTTCTCTTTTTAAACGCTGACCGTATTTCCGTCTGCAGTGATGCTAAAACTGTGAAAGACTCGAAAAATGGAGTTTCCTCAAATGATGTTGCTTCCTCTTCTTTTGATTCATTGAATGGGGGATCCGATCATGGTATATTTCCAATCTATTAGCTTTTAGTCTCCCGAACAAAAACTTGTAATGTTTATTTTAATGATCTTTTATATGCCCAGTGATCGGAATTTTTTTTTTTTTTAAGGGGCCGTTGAAAAGCCTGCAGATATACCTGCTGAGACTACCCTTGGCAATGGTTCTTCAGATGATGGTATTCGAGCAATATCTTGTATAAACTATTTATCTATTTGTTGTCTGATTTAGCTTTAGCCATTGTCTTCTGCTGCTGGCGTATGCTAAAATCAATAGCAGTTAAATATAGCTAAGTGATTGCAGATTGCATTGCAGAATGCAGCGAATATTGGTCAAATATGAAGCAAAATTGAAAGAACTTTGATCTTCCGAGTTATTTTCTTTCTCATTATTTCTTAAGCAATTCAATTCCTACTTCACACAGCTGCGTAGCTTTAGTTTTATTTTACCCTGTTCTTTGAAGGGGGAGAGTTGATCCTGGTTTATTATGTTTCTTTTATATGCTCTTTAAAGAAAAAAATTATCATACAATTTGTTCGTATTCCATGTTAAAGATATCAGTATCTGTAATGTGATTGAATTTGTGGAACAATACAGATTGGGAAGCAATTGCAGACCGTTCACCTGATGAGTTACTCTCTTCGGTATCTGCACAGTGTTTATCTGGAGTATCAGATCTTAAATTAGAGAACAACAAAAGTCAAATTCCAAAGCGGCGTGGAAGAGGAACATTCTCATATGAAAAACGTGAACTTTATAGTGATCAGTTACTTGATAACCCAATCATTGATGCCGAGGATGAGGAAACTCATCATTATTCAGGAGATAAAAGAGATATGGGAACCTGTAAGTGGCGACATGGCCATTTCAATATGCATTTGTTTTAAAATTTTGATACTCACTGAATCTTAAGAGGGCTACTAATTTGTTATAATCCCTTAAGCACACTGGTTCTTAACTTTTCTTTTACAGTGTCATTTTCCGCAAAAAGATGTCCTGTATTTTGCTAGTTATGTTTTGTTTGTTTAAGGCATCATATTCAAAACATTTGAAACTTTAATATATATTTTGATCCAGCTAATTATGGGACTCGCCACGTTCTTGTTTTGGCCGACTTCTTGCCAAGTACTAGGACAATAGATTTGGAGAAACTTTTTGAGGACTTCAAAGATCGTGGAGTTGTGATTCGCTGGGTCAATGATACAGTTGCACTTGCAGTATTCCGAACACCTTCAATTGGTATTATATACTATAGTTGTAGTCAAATACACCTATGTCTATGTTATTAGAATGAGTATACTATGTTGGTCAATTATGGTTTGATGACAGAGGAGTAGAGACATAAAAAGATGCTATCTATCAATAGTAGAGGCTTGAAATTCTTTACAGACTTTTTCAGTTTAATCATCTCTTAGATGGCACCGTCCACTCCTCAAAATATAAAGCAACTTAAAATTATCATTAATAGTGATAGCTTGTATGTCTATGTGTTGGATTGTAAGTTAGGAGTCCAAGATTGGCATGATTCTTTAATAAGGGGCACAACAATTTTATACCTGTGCATTCTGAGTTTTCCAATGCGTTTTATCCTTGGCTCTTGTATTTGCTATGAGTTATCATTTGTCATTATCCAATTTCACTTCCCCCCTCTCTCGGGAGGGGAGTTGCTGAAGTTTATTTCTCTCTCTCTCTCTCTCTCTTTTTGAAAAAAAGGTGATTTTCTTAGACTCATTCTGTTCCTGTTGCTTTAGTTTAGGGGACTTTTTTATTTATTAAAAAAAAAAACCATTTGTATGCTTACCTGATAATCTCGATATTATAAATTTCTAATTATAATGCAGCTCTTGAGGCCCTAAACAGGATTCGTTATCCATTCACCGTGAGGATACTTGATGAAGAAGATGCTCTTCTGAGTTCAATTAAAGCAAGAGGTGCCGACTGCTTCATCTTTCTACCACATATGGTCAAACTATGGTTCCTTCTTTGTATAAGATTCTCTTGTAGATGCATTTACTTCCGAAATATAGAACCTGGGAACCATGTAAAACCATTTTGTGGAACTGTTTTAGTTTTTTTTAAATATTTGCATATTCCTCATTATGATCTACTTTTAGAGAACCTGAAGTATAATGCGCTTTGAGTGTGGATTATTTACATATGGAAATATTTCTGTTTTGCCGTCCTAAATTGTTTTAACTGTTTAGTGGTACATAGAATTGAAAACAAAGCAGTTCCTTCTTCGTTTATTGGATTTCTTTTCATGAACGCATTTTGGGCCTAACGCCATCAAGTAGACACTTAATGATAAGGCAGCTCACTTTAGATCAACATACCCCCAAGAAAAAAAAATGGCATCAAATGTTTAATTGTGCTTTTTTTTTTTTTTTTGGCCAACAATTGTGCTTTTTCAGTCTATCGTTAAGATCAACTAGCCTGTGGGGACTCCATCCATTGTACGAAGTCTGAGATGAGTTGCATGAATAATGACTTGTGTGTGATTTTCTAGTGCCTATATTATATATTGATGATCAGTCTGGGTGTTTTCAATATCTTCCGCCCTTTTGTTTGTTCATTCAGACCTGGAACCTCCTAGGCAAAGGCCGAAGACATCAGCTCAAACAGCGCAGAGGTTGATTGCTCAGGGAATGGGGTTAAAATTGTCATCAACAGCCTTTGGATCCCGAGAATTGAAAAAACAAGAAGATGCGAGGAGGAACCGCATCACTACCAGGCAAAATTTGAGAGATGAGGCTTGGGGAGATGATTAACCTTTGTTAAACTTGTTATATTTAGAAATGTTGTAACTTATAGCCCCATTTTAGTGTAGAAAGTGTAATTCCTTAATTCATGAATGCGTTGATAGCTCGGTTACAGAAGAAGTGGTTGTGTATGAAACGACGGGCTAATAGCGCAGAATTTCCTGTGACCTGGTTTTACGAAAATGTGAAGCTCATTGCTGAGATATCAAATCTTGTTCCTCGTTTCCTCGTTTCCTTAACGCACCGATTCGAAATAGAACACTCAAAAGCATTAAAAAAGTATAGACAAAACAGTATACGCATTTCTTCGAGGAAAAGCATTGTATCATTGCTCGCGATTCAGGGTGTGTTTGGATAAAACCAAACCGTGGTTTGGAAAAGTGATTCTGGAGAATAGATTCTGAAAAAAATAGATTCTGTGAAGAATAGATTTTGTAAAAAAGTGATTCTGAGAAGTGAGAGTGTTTGGATAGTTGTTATCAGAAGCACTTTTTATATATACAAATTACTAAAAAAAAGACATAAGTTAATATGATAATTACAGAAAAAATAGATTTTATGATATATTTTAATTTGAAAAAATAAAATTGTTAATAATATGTTTTTTACCAACATAATTAATAATACATAAGATAATATAATTAATAAATAATTAATGTCTATATATATTTATAAAATATAAGATTAAATATATTTATAAAAAAATATGTTTATAAAAAAAATAACAAGATACATATCATATAGGCCCTCACACTCTCCCTTTTTTCCAAAAGCAAAAAATTTTGCTTTTTCCAAAACCATGGTTTTGACCCAAAACCATGGTTTTGGTTTTTGGAGAGGCTGTTTGGGTAGCATTTCCCCAAACCATGGTTTGGGTCCCCAAACCATGGTTTGGGTGCTATCCAAACAGAGAAATGGAACTTGCAATTTTGAGCTTTTAAAGTGCGGCGGATGACGGATTCAATTCAATCGTCTCCTCCCAGACGGACGCATCTTTGCTGATCACGGCTGGTCTACACGCGATTTCGCTGGCACTTCCGGCGTCTTCATTTGGGCACACATTTTGTACCCACGAGAGCTTTATTTATATTGGGCTTTTGGGCCTATCTTATTAGTGAAGGTCAAGTAGGCCCATCAAGAAGAGATTTTCCACCCTTTTTTCCATAGCTATTTAATATTTATTATTATTAAATTCAGTCGTTTTAACTCGATTGGAATTAACACACGTTTTTAATGCACAAACAAGTATCACTGATGTGTCCAAGTAATTAATAATCAATCAATATTTTCCATTTTTTGGGGTCGTATTAGGAAATAACGATTTATACTAGTTGTTCTATTTAATAATACGGTCATTGTTATTAACTAGCATATACATTCAAAGTTTTCGGCAGCTATATTATTGATATTTTAATTATTGTGTATTCTGTTGGTAAAATTGCATTAGAAATTGGAAATAATAGACTGATGGAACCATGTGCTGGTTAGTTGATCGAACGATTTTATTAATTGGGGTAATTACATCCGTGTGCATATACGGGAACATACATAGGTTAATGTATAGGAGCAGTATTAATCATTAATCAACAAATCATCTGAGAATATCTTTGCTTTGCTCTTCCTCAACATAAAAGACAAAAATAAACCACATTATTTTATGTTATTCGCGATTTTAATGTATTCAGTCCCTGTAGGTTCTTATTTTGATCGAATTTCTGATGTGATATCTGTGACATGTTTTGAAAGATGCATTAAATAACTTTCAAAATATAATATCTTTGACCACAATCTAGATGCGAGGGAAATGGGTAATAATCTCGTGCATTCGTTTGTTTTATAAAAATATATACATACTATCTCCAATCCTAATTATAAAATTTTGTTTGTACATTATAAATGGGATATTGTAATTAAGACAGGAGGTAGTATTAATTATATCTTCCTCACTACGGTATCATAAATTACAAGGTTATAATCTTGTTAGTTACGGATGATATATTACATGTTAATACATTGTTATATGTAAAACATGTACGAATCTATGCATCAAAACTAAACTCGGGAAGACCAAAATGCTTTTCACGATACATAACATAATATTATTTCCGGTTCTAATTATAAGATCTTATTTATAGACTATAAATGATATTTTATATTAGAACCAGTTACAAATGAGTTTTATAATTAGACAGGAGTACTTATGAAAAGTATAACTTATTTGGCAATGCATTTTTCAAAAGAGAGAATTTTTACTCGATCACAATCATTGTGTTGTGTTATGTATCAACTAATTTCACGAGTTAAATTTTTTAATGCCTATTTTCATCCGTATAAACAATATAATGTTTAGGATGTAAATCTCCTAAAATAATTTATTGTTATATATATATATGTAGTTATATATCGTCAGTGTACTGTGGTTTTTAATTAACCTATTGATTAAAAACTCTATTTGTTTCCAGGTTTCCCATTAAGGGGGTGTTTGGATGTAACCAAACCATGGTTTGGAGAATAGCTTTTGGAGAATAGATTCTGGGAAAAATAGATTTTGTGAAAAAGTGATTCTGAGAAGTGAGAGTGTTTGGATAGTTGTTACCAGAAGCACTTTTTACATGTGCAAATTACTAAAAAGGGCATAAGTGAATATGATAATTATATAAAAGATAGATTTTATAATATATTTTAATTTGGAAGAATAAAATTGTTAACAAAATAATTTTTACTAACATAATTAATAATATATAAGATAATATAATTAATATGTATATATATATTTATAAATTATGAGATTAAAAAATTTTTGTAAAAAATGAATAATTTTTACCAACAGAAAAATATTATTTTATTCTAAAAACAACAAGACACATATCCCATAAGTTCTTACACTCTTTCTTTTTCTCCAAAAGCAGAAAATTTCTGCTTCTGCCAAAACCATGGTTTTGGTTTTTTCTACGGTGTTTGGGTAATTTTTTTCCCAAACCATGGTTTGGGTAATATATAAGATTCGTATTGTTGTGCGTTTGAAATTTTTTTTATTACGAAGTCATACCAAGCAAACTTTTTTCTCGTACCTAAATTTCTTGTCATCATGTAATTACCCTTTACTCTTATAGTTGTGAAACAATGCGCGTGACATTGATGTGTGTGTGTGTGTAAGCTATGTAATTAAGTAACAAATTAGCGGTCTCTAGGAGTCACCTTTAGATATCATCGAAGTGCCACAAGCAAAATTAAAGTAACTGCTTCCGTTTTTTCCCCATATAATTTTAAAATGCGTTTAAATTTTTTAAAAAATTACAAAATCTTTGAATACTTTTTTTTTTTAATCTAATCGTAGACATGCGAGAGTTGAATTCAAATTCAACCGGACATCACGCCATTGAAAATTTAACCGGAAGTTGCAGACATTCTGTAGACATTTTGAAAAGTAATTTTAAAAAATAAAAAACTCACTTTTCAAAATACTCACGCCTCTGGCTCTTGCTACCACACTTGCTATTTTAAAATTATACGGGTAAGTTGCAGTTTCAGTTGCCGTAAAACTATATGATGGATTGATTAATACTATCCTTTTTCAATTAGATTTTAAACTTATGTATTTGTTTTAGTTCTTTTTCCACCATGTAACTTTTTCATTGTTAATGCTATCGTTTTGTTTAATTAGCTATAAAATGAATTCATTATAACATGTATAAGAATGCATTACCCAAATTATACTTTCAATAATTTAAAATGAAAATCCAAGAAAATAGCCCGGGACATGCATAAAAAAAAATCATAGTCTTAGATTTTATGATATACAGTGATAAGTAATACCCTATAATTTATATGCATGTGAGTGTGGCTAATCACGTTAAGAACAAAAAACATTAAAAATAAATTCGACTAAGAAAAACTGCAGATCATTGAAGGAGAATATATAAATAATGTAGTAATATGTTTTATGAGCTTAGAAAGCGAGCTGCGTCCTGTATAATCTCAAAGCCACCATTTGACATCACCTCTTTATTATTTCAAATACTAGCGGCTTTCGCCACCATCATTCCAAGTATGTGCCAATTTGTTATAAATATAATAATATCTTGATGGATGTCTATATATTTTCTATTATCTCCTATAATCTTTAATATCTCCCATTATCTCTATATCCTACAGTTATCTCATATTATTATGTAATCTGCAGATTCTATCAAAGGTGTAAAGCTGTGCCAATAAATAGAGGCCATATATAATGTATTAAGCACTCTTGAATAGGATGAGAAATATTCTCTTTTGTTGATCCTCTCTTTCTCTGTATCATCCTTTTCTATCTCTTCTTTATTTATAACACGTTATCACATCTATTATGTGGATAAATAACATCCATTATGTATTTTGATAGTTGCAAGATCTTTATATATGCATGGACTAAAAATCAATTTAGACCTCCAGAAGGTAATGAATAAACATTTGGTCCAAAGAAACCATATCTTAATATTACTGAAGCATTTATATATCTAGTCATATAGAACCTAATATATCATTTGCTAATTAGCATGATATAGTTTTTTATCAACATGAAAATATTAGAATGAAGTTAAAAATATTCTTCGTTACCTTAAGAGTGCCGTGGAGGTAATATTATTTTATCTGAAGTTACCTAAGACTAATCTTAATAGCTATATAGATAAAGTATTCTTGTTTAATTCTCAGGTCAAGAGATCATAGTATGATCTACGTGTGGGTAAACCATAAAAGGACTATTTGTCTCATAATTTTCAGAAGATTATGAAATCTTTATTTGACATTTTTATCTCATTATAATATTTGGAAAGCTTGTTCGTTATATTAGACTTTGCAGGCTCGAAGATATCAACTGATGTTGTCAAGAGGGGGAGTTAATACCAATGAAAAAAAACGTACCGGACCGGCCGGTTCAACCGGAAAACCGGTGAACCGATCTCTGGTCCGGTCTGGTTGAAGGAAAAAACCGGCCTATGATCAAACCGGAAAAAAAACCGGTTCAACCGGTAAAAACCGGGCAACTGCCGGGTGGATGGGTTGTCCGGTTTAATAATTTAGTCTTCCCGTTGTTCACGAAGGTGGTCGTCGCTCTTGAGGCCATCCACGTCTCTGGCTCTCTGCTATTAGAAGAGCAAGAGGTGATACCGAAAATCCAAAGAATCTTGCAAAAGAGAGGGGCAGTAATTGAGAAGGGAAAAAATAATTGGAGGAGACAAAGAGTAGAGAATGAAAAAGATACCTCAAGGTGTTGAGGAGGTGGTGGGAGGGTTCAAATAAGAAGGATAGAGGTGGCAGTGGGGGGAAGTGGAAAGAGGAAGAAGAGCAAAATGACGAGCCATTGAGGACGAGGACGGAGAGGTGAGCGAAGTGAGAAAGTAATCCAAGGAAGTGAAGGGACAAGTCTTCCAAAGCAAGCACTGCACGACAATCCAAGTCTTCCCTTTGCTTTTTGACTGTGGTACTTGATGGAGTAACTGAGGGGTAAGCCGTAGGTGGCCCACACAAAAGACAAGAGAAGGTTCCCAAAAAAAAAATGAGTGAGAAAATTTTTAAATAGAGTTTGGAATTGAACCACTTAAAGAAATTTTTATTAAGAACAGTTTATTAAAATTAAATATTCAAACTATTTTTATGGTTTTTTTTACTCTTCTAGTGATAAATATAAAACCCTTATATTTTTATATTTAGGACCGGAAGAGTATTTTGTTGACTGATTATTATTTATGAATATTATTCTATTTTTTTATTAATTAAATTATATTATTTTAATATGACCGGTCCAACCCCGGTCAGACTATTAACCCTTAACCCACTATCTTAACCGGTTTAGTGTCCGATCCGGTTTTTTGTTCCTTGGACTTAATACACACTGTACTCTTTTTTCTTTGTCTATGGTTTTGTCCCACTAGGTTTTCCTAGCAAGGTTTTTAATGAGGCAGCATTGCATCGTGTATCAATGAATGATGTACTCTTTTTCTTTCGCTAGGTTTTTGTCCCACAAGATTTTTCCTAGTTGAAGTTTTTTTAACGAGACACATTCATATATATTGGACATCCAAGAGACTGGGGAGTGTTATGAATATAATAATATATTTGTGAATGTCTATATATCTCCCATTATCTCCTATATCTCATATAATCTCCAATATCTCCCATTATCTCTATATCTCAAAATTATCTCATATTATTATTTAATTTGTAGATTCTATCAAAGTGTAAAGCTGTATATAAATAAAGACCATGTATAATTATTGAACACTCTTAAATGGAACGAGAAATACTCTCTCTGTTGATCCTCTCTTTTTCGTATCATTCTTCTCCATCTCTTCTTTGTTACAACGCTAATTTCTTTTTCCTTTTTCATTAATTCTTTGCACACAATATCATTCTGTCATAAGCTCCCTCTAGTCATTAATACGAGAGCTTCATAAGTGATTTCTAGATATTAAAAAAATTAACCAAGTTATTTAGTAGTTATTAAAAATATGTGTAATGGTTTTCATTAGGAAACTAATAACTTCCTACTCAAACTATCTATTAATATATGATTGCAATTAATATAGACATTTTAAAAAAAAATCTAAATTTAAAAAATAAAATAAACTTCTAATTAACTCCGTCAGAAGAGTATATTTTATGAATAAACAATGGAGGAGCTCATATCGGGACCCTCAATAGCAGTGACCATGAGGCGTAAACATCAGCCACTAAAATTGTGACACGTGGCAAGCAGGTTAAGCATTCCAATGAAATTCATGCACCTAACATTCAGAATCCCCAATTTAATAATGATTTTCAAATCAATGCTGGTGCTCGGTTTGACCAACCCCCTCTCTATTTGACAAAATCATAATACTATTAAATTAGTCGTCTCTAAAAACAAGGAATATTATTATATTCCAAACACACGAACAAATTAAAGCCCTCCTTCCAAGTCCCAAGTACCAGCCTCCATATATTCTAGAGCCGCTTTCTCTTACCCAACCAAACCAGACCAGACCATTCTTCTCTATTCTTCCTATCATCCTCACCTTCTTCTTCCTCCTCCTCCTTCATCTTCATCAATGGAGGAAATCGAAATTCCTCAGTATTTCGTGTGTCCCATTTCGCTTCAGATCATGAAGGACCCCGTGACAACATTCACCGGCATAACCTACGACAGAGAAAGCATCGAACAATGGCTGCTCAAGGCTAAAGAACACAAGTGCCCTGTCACGAAGCAGCCATTGCCCAGAGGCTCCGATCTCACTCCCAATCACACCCTCCGCCGTCTCATCCAGGCTTGGTGCTCGGAGAACGCCGCCCACGGCGTCGATCGCATCCCTACCCCTAAATCCCCTCCCACCAAGACCCTCCTCCAGAAACTGGTGAGAAATCTCGGGCTTCCCCATCTGTACCAATCCGCATTGGAGAGATTGCATACTCTGGCTACAGAAAACCAGAGGAACCTCAAGTGCATGGCAGAATCAGGTGTGGCCGAGTCCATGATTCATCTAATTACGAAAAAGTCCAAGGAGTTAGGTAACAACACTAATTCCCTCGAACAATCCCTGCGAATTCTAGGCTTGCTCTCGTCTTGGGACAACATCAAGCCTCTGGTCGTCCAGAACATCGACTTCATCAAATCGTTGACTTGGATTCTACAGCTCCACGAGGATACCAACGTCAATTTGATAAACGAAGCAATGCCAGTGTTAAAATCCACGATCGAACTCGCAGATTCAACCCATTTAGGAAGTTTGAAACCCGAGTTCTTCAGTGAAATCACAAGGGTACTCAGAAACAGATCGATCTCCCAACAAGCCATGAAATCCGCCTTGCATATTCTCATCGAAACATGTCCTTTAGGTAGAAACAGAACGAGGATAGTGGAAGTAGGAGCAGTAATTGAATTGATCGAGCTTGAGCTAGAGAAACCTGAGAAGAACATAACGGAGCTTATATTTAACCTCCTTGCGCAGCTATGTTCTTGTGCGGATGGGAGGGAACAATTCTTGTCACACGCGGCGGGGATTGCGGTGGTGTCTAAGAGGATTCTGAGGGTTTCTCCTGCGACGGATGATAGGGCGGTTCATGTGCTGTGGTTGATGGCGAGGTACTCGGGGTCAAAGGATGTCGTATTGGAGATGTTGAGGGTGGGAGCTGTATCAAAGCTTTGCATGGTGATTCAGGCCGACTGTGATCCGAGTGTGAAAGAGAAAGCAAGATCGATACTGAGGTTGCATTCCAAGCTTGGAATAATTCGCCTTGTATTCAAGTTTATCTGTTAACCAGGCACCAAAGGTGATGATTAACACGCAAAACTTGCTAGCTACCAGAATCCAGATCATCTTGTTCCTTTTCTTCTTTATGGTGATAATTAATTAGTATTGATGAACTATATATATAATCAAGAAAAAACTTTCAGAATATATATGGATCATCTGATCCTTTAGAATGTCAGTAATTCACGGTATTGCCAGATCTTATATATGGAGGAAGAACAAACGCACCACGCACACGGCAAAAGGCAAGAATATGCATGGAAGATAAATCTGTCTCATAATTATGCAAATTGTTTGAAAGCCAAAAGTGCAATGTATGTATTAGTGAAATGATTAATATTGATGAACGCACGTGTTTTTATTTCTTGTGGACGATCACCTCTCTTTCCTGCTGTATGCGTTCGCAACGAAATCCTGAATCAGATTTTGATCAGAAATGAGAACAATTAATGATTGTGTGCACGCAATGTATGTCTGAGAAATTTTAAACTACCAGAAGCTTTCTTCAAACCTGCTACCATAGGAAGTATAAAATGGTGCTCAATATACAACTGAATTAAAATGTTCGGATCTCATCATATACTTGATTACATTATTCTTTACTGATCAATATAACGCAGGCCTAGCTAGGTGAATTCCCGCTCAATGTCCCATTAATATCTTCAAACGAAGAGTTTGATCAGATTTCCAAATTGTTTCATCACTTCACTTCCTCAAAAAGCCACTATATAAATAACACAGAATCTATAGGTAAGTAGTTGAATTCTACATGCAAAAAGAATGTATGAGATTGTACCTACACACTCACACCCGCACACAAGACACATATTAACTACCTCTCTATAGTTAATCTCTACTATCTGTGATTCGTACATAAATGTGTATTGAAAAGATAAAAATTTAATTATTTTATATGACTTAGGATGTTCTAGTTCATCAAAGTATAACTGACACGATACTACTTTAGGTTAGAGTACTTAATAATTTTTTCTATGCATGCAATATAGCTGCTAAAAAATATGTCAGAATTCGTGCTTAACCTTTAGGATACCAAGTTAGAAGAGCGAATAAAAACTCAATCGGACATGGTATAATATAAATACTATCTCAGGTCCTTGATATGAGATCTAGATAATTAATTTGGAGATATTAAAACAAAAATTAGCTAAGCTGGTTATTTCTTACAAATGTGTTAATTTTCCTAAAATGTCATCTTTAATCATGTGCATTGCATTATTATAGTTATCCTTTGATGAAAAATCCTTCCAATCAATAGGGATATTTTGAGAATGAGACACAATAATATGGATTGAGGTTTAATATTTAAGACCAAATTGAAACTCCTAACTAGTTCCTATATTAAGGATCAAAAGTAGTGATATTGAATCAGGAAATCATATCTTTTTTCTGATAATTGTTGAGTTTTTGGGCATTATCAAACTAAACTAACTAATAATGAAAAGCAAAACTCATAAGCCATAGCATGTTTTTCTCCGTCCAATATATGTGTGTGAGAAGCCAAGACCAGGTAAATGTTCTTCAAAGTTGGATTGGCGACGGTGATGAGAAATGCATATGTCTGGACCATAATGAATTGATAGCTTTCCATCAACACCGACGTCAACCTTCATGTTTCATTTCCACGGACGCCTCCGATTCAATGCTTACTTGGTTGACTCTTGTTAATCCCACTCGCTATTTAATTCCAAGTTTTTCTCGTTTTTTTTTTTGGTGAATAGTTTTTCTGTTTGTTTATTAGGTCTAAGTATTGAACCATGATTTGTTTATAATATAGTGTATTGTTCGTTTTACTATTTTCACAATAAGAACTATATATGTATTTGATTGGTGATTGATGATGAGAGAAGTGTCTGGCACATCAATGTTTTGACTTACTGTTACAAATTTTTCAGAGCGTTGAGTTTTTCTCGGTCGATATGTGGCACTTAGTTATCTGAGCGAAGGGCGAAAAGAGAGAAGGAGCGGCTCAGGTCAGGATCGATCAATGTCCAACTCATCGATCTTTCTCGTGTTTGAATATATACCAAGTCAACCTTTGAATGATGAAGAAGCACATGTCTCGTTGATGAGCCGTCACGTCTTCGATCAATTCATATTTTATAATTTTTTCCCCTCTCATTGTTTAATTACACCAACCGCGGGGCTTGAATTTAATTGGAAGGGCTATTGTGTTATAAATATATAATTGTCAGCTTTGAATATTAACCATGGAAAGTTGAAAACTTTTTTATATATTTGTTGTTCGCAAGAAAATGTCCGTACTGGCATGTATTTTCTTAATTACATTCTGATCATCTGGTTGGTGCATTCAAAGAAATAAAAGTAGGTAGGTGGTGGTATTTTAAATAGTAAGCCTTGGTTAATTAGGCTATGGATTATTTTTACATGTATTAGGAAAAAAAAAACCTCTCTTCACCTCATTTTATAAGATATTTTGTTTTTGGTAAAATTGGGAATACCAATAAAGTCAATTAAATATAGTTTTGGGATATTCCAATCACATCAGAGGGGTGTTAACATTCTGAACATTTTTTTACATCTGTAGCTTATTATTATTTTCTTTCATCATTGTAATTACGATTTAACATGCGACCTTCTGACTTGCATTTTTCTTTTTCAAGTTTTAGAATTAAGAAAGAAATTATTATAAATAGCACTGATAAAGTGGTGAAAACTTGATATTGTAGATATAGTTGGTAATGTAATAAATAATTTAAAACATGATCACTTGTATTTTCTTTTCAAGAGTTGAAATTGAAAAAACAAGTTATTGTAAACGATGTTGATAAGGTAATGAAACTCAATAAAATTGTTGTCAATAATGTTTTAGTAATGTGGTAAATGATATTTAATAAGCTTTTTTACTCTTGACAGTTATTTTATGCAATGCGATTTTGCATTATACTGACAAAGAGGCTTGGTGGCTGAATGGTAACCAAGTCTTTGGGGATCTGATATGATTAAATCCATTTTGGATTTGAAATTTCAAATGGTATTCACTTGTTTCCTTTTTTTTCACTTTTATCCTCTAATCTCTTACCTCACTTGCGTGAAATTGAGGCCTCCTCTCCCATTTTTGTTTGTCTTTTCTGCAAGTCTGACGTCGAAAACTTTTGTTGAGCATTGTTCACCCCGGGGGGGGGGGGGGAAGGTTGTTGCACGTACAAATATGATATCCGGGGCCGGACGAGAATTCTAGCGTGACTGCTTATTTATCCATGGCCAGATATACCTGGACCTGCAACCTCCTTATTTTAGGCCCAATTTTCCTTCTACTTAGCTCAATGAACTTATGTTCCTCCTGTCTTTAATATAGAATCCAATTGTTGAATTAGTTTTGATTCTAAATATAATATTCATTTCTCATATTTATCAATTTTCTCTAAATTACCCCTATAAATACTCCCTCAACCATAATCAAGTAGAAGAGGAAGATGGGATATTAAAAAAGATGATTATAGTATTTTAGGAAAAACATGTCACATTTTTTATAATTAACTAACTTACGTGACTTCCTTAATCTAATCAAATTAGTTAAATAGGTCGTATATTAAGGATTGGAAGAGTAATTATATAACACATTTATACCAAAACTTAAAATAACATATGGAGTTTAAGCTCAATATTAATCACCATTATGAGGTCACAATCCTTAATTATATCTTATCTTCCATCACCCTCTTATTTCTTTGCATATGTAAGTCTGAAAACAAGTTTGGGTTTAGAAAAATTTTCCAGGTATATTATATATATATATATAGAGAGAGAGAGAGAGAGAGAGAGAGAGTTTTGGAGCGTTGATGATGCAGACGCCAACACAGTAATTTCAATATCATAGGAAGACGGGTAAAATTGCACATTTATACGCACACACATGTTGTGTTCATTCAACGTGCGAAAATAAATTGAAATGTTCCCAAATATATGTGATCAATACAACACAAAGGGATATTATTTAAAAGGGAAAAATCATGAGTTTTAATTTGGGCTTATTTGCAGCACAAGGACAACTAAGATTTTAATCTAGGATTTTTTTTCCAATTAAAAAAGGAAGTGAGATGTGACAAGGTACCAAAGATCCACGCAGAAATTAAGCAGGTATAAAATAGTAGCAAATAAATAGCACGTTAAAAGCATGCTTACGCTTAAACAAAATAATTACATGGTTTTGATTGCAATCAGAACAGCAGAGATTTCGAAGGTTTGTATTGAATTTGTATCTCATTTGGATTGCCTGCTCTTGTAATTAATTGACGCTCATTTGTGCAATCACTAGGAATCAAATTAAAATTAATAAACCACTCAAAAATTCATGTTGAGAGAATCGGAAATTTCCAACGCATTTCCATCTTTATTTCTTGAATCAACTTAATGCATGTTTATTCTGGCAAAAAAAAAAATCAATGCGTGTTTAATTGGTTATGAACAGCTTCAGTTCTTAATATAAAAACTATTTTGACTTTCAATTTGATTCTAAATATAAGACTTAAATCCATTTTATCTTTTATGTTTATTCATTTTCTTCAAAGTAATACTAATAGTAGTTGTAAATGTTAAATGTTTCATTAAATAGTAATTCTAGCTACTACATATAATGACTAAGAATATTTTAGAAAAGATAACACTTATTTATTACAAATAATTAACTTAACAAACTTTCTTAATCTACTCAAATTAGTAAACTAGTTATTATATTAAGAACTAGAGGTACATGGTATTATAGTAAAAAATTTCTTCCTGCGTCTGTGCATATAATATTCATATATACTGTCTGTCTGACAACTCAAAGCAATTTAAAATTAGCATCAATCCACATGCCTTGATTCTTTTCCAAGAGCTTCAAGCAAGATGTGTAATAGTTGGCTTGTACCATTATAAAAGAGGTAGTTTATTATATAGCCATGTATAAAAAGTGATGCCTATAATAGCTTTCAAAAATAAAATGAGAAAATAGGTGAAAAGTCCATGCTTACAAATTTTATCAACTAAAAAAACTTGATATGTTTTTAAACACAAAGTATCGGTACGCTATAAGATTTCACTTTCACAGACAGAAAATGTAGATATTTAAATTCAAGTTCTTCTGGCTGATACAATTTCCAA